CTATATCTCATATTTTGAGTAATATTGAGGGCTTGAAAGGATCTCTTGTGAAAACCCAGGAGGAGAAGCTTCAGCTACTTGTAGAGAATTCTGTCCTCCTAACTGTACTTTCGCAACAGGAATCTGAGGCAGCAGAACTGGTGACAGAGAAAGGGATCCTAGAGCAAGAGTTTGAAAACACAAGAGAGCAGCATGCAATGTTGCAAAAGGTTAAGCTTGAGCTTTTGGAGATCAACATGCAGCTTAGATCTGAAGTGACCAAGGGAGAAGCAAAGGAGAACGAGTTACAGTCCAAATTAGAAGCCCTTCATCTGGACTTGATAGATTTGCAAAGAACTAATCTATTGTGTCAGGAAGAAAATTGTAGGTTACTTGAGGAGAAAAATTCACTAATGGGGAGTGTTTTAGACCTTAAAGATGCAAAGTCTGCCACTGAACAAGAGAATAGTATAATCCTCCACGAGGCACTGTCTCTGAAAAATCTTAGTTTGGTTTATGAGAGCTTCTTCACAGAGAAGGTCTTGGAACAACGTGCACTTGCTGAAAATCTCAGTGATCTTCACTCTTTGAACAATGACCTTAAACGGGAGCTTGGTCTATTAAGGAAGAAGTTTGAGGTTAAAGAAGCTGAGAATGTTTATTTGAAGGAGTCAGTTGAGAGGACGGGCAAAGATATGGAAGAATCCAAAGCTGAAAATGAACATTTAAATTGTCAAATTGAAAGTTCAGAGAATCTTCTCGAGAAGAAGGATGAGGAGCTGTTAGAAATGTTGGAAAGGCTAAAGGCTGCGGAAACATTAAGTGCAGAGTTCTGTAGAAATATTGAGAAATTGAAGGCGGAAAAAGAACAGTTAAGATTGATCAATGAGAATCTTGAGAGGCAGATTCTTGAACTATCAGAAGGTTGCATGAATCACAAAAAAGAAATTGAACACCTTACGGAAGCAAACAGGAGTTTATTGTCACAGATGAGGTCCTTACGTCAAGAAGTTGAACAACAGAGGGCAAGGGAGGAAACATTGAGTTCAGAGTTGCTGGATAAAACAAACGAATTTGAACTTTGGGAGGCTGAGGCTGCTACATTCTATTTTGATCTTCAGATTTCGTCTATTAGTGAAGCATTGTTGGAAAATAAGGTCAACGAGCTTTCTGGAGTTTGCATGAGACTTGAAGAAGAACGTGATGCAAAAAGCATGGAGATTAAACAGATGACAGAAAGAGTCAGTCTACTGGAAGGTGAAGTTGGAGGATTGAAAGGACAGTTATCTGCATATACACCTGCCATTAGTTCTTTGAAAGAGGATTTTACTTCTTTAGAACAAACAGCTCTGCTTCGAGTAAAAACAGTGCCTGTTAAATGCAATCATGAACAAAAGGTAGTATTCTGTATTGACTTGTTACCCTAAACTTCTGTTTTGTTCTTTATTATTTTTCTTCTCATTAAATGATGCAATTAGCATATACGGGAGACATTACATGAATTCTACTTATCCCTGTTTACCATGAATGTTTTTTTTTCCAGGACGGAGGAATTGAAACTTGTCTCCAAGAAAATGGCCATCAAAGTTCAGCTGATAACAGAAGCACTTTGATACCGGATGGGGTTTCAGATTTGCTGAGCATGAAGGCAAGGATTAGAGCGGTTGAGACGTCGCTGGTGCAAGAAATTGAGAGGCATGTGAAGGAAGAAAATCTAACCACTAAAGCTAATCCAGTAGCTCTGAGAAATGTGTCAAACGTGGTAGTTTCACCATACGTAGAAGAGAATGGCAGCAGAAAAGAAGACAAGGTACTCAAGGATGGGAGCACTTTTGATCTCAACTCATGGAGAACAAAACCTGAAAGTGGGTCATTGATGAAAGACATTCCACTTGATCATATCTCAGACACTCCAGCCACCAAAAGTTGCCGGAGAGTGAATAGTGGGACTGATGATCAGATGCTTGAATTATGGGAAACTGCCGAGCAGGACTGCTGTGATAGTTCCATAGATAATGAAGCAATGAAGCAAAGCTCTGTACCAACAGAGGATCTTATCACATACCATCAGTCAGACAATTCTGGTAAATTCCTAAATACCTCCTCAGAATTGGATGTAGAAAAGGAATTGGGTGTTGACAGGTTTCAGTTATCAAGAAGCATAAAAGAGAGAACTCAAGATGGCAAGAGGAAAAAGATACTGGAGAGGCTTGCTTCGGACGCGCAGAAACTGTCCATTCTTAAGACAAGCGTGCAAGATTTGAAACAGAAAATGGAGACAAAGAAGAGAAACAAGAAGGGAGATTACACTGAATATGAAACAGTTAAAAGACAGATAGAAGAAGTTGAGGGAGCTGTTGTGAAATTAGCAGATACTAATGATCAACTGACAAAGGATCTTGAAGAGGGTGCTCCATCTTTGAACAGGGAAACTTCCGTTGAGTTGGAAAAGAGTAGACAAATCCAGAGAAAAAGAGTAACCGAGCAGGCACGAAAAGGTTCTGAACAGATTGGACGGCTGCAGTTTGATGTGCAGAACATACAATACACTTTGCTGAAGTTGGCTGATGAAAAGAGCAAAGGGAAGAACAGATTCACTGGAAAAACAGTGATCTTGCTTAGGGACTTCATTCACAGTGGGAAGAAAAGTAGTAAAAAACGCAGCAAGGGGTTTTGTGGATGTTCAAGGCCTTCAACTAATGAGGACTAAGTCAGAAAATTAGAACCATTTTCTTGTAACTACTTTCTCTGATTGGTATGTGTCTAATCTAGCATAATAATTTTTAATTTTAGCTGGTAAAAATGTTGTTAGGCTTTATCTGATCACAGTAGCTTTCAAAGGAGTTGTACTGAGCCACATTTTAGCCAAGAAGTTGCTCTGTCATGTTTGGCAGTGCTTAAGCTGTGAAAGCAATGAGCAGGAAATAAAGCTTTTCACTATTTTCTTCAACGTTTGATGTCTAATGAAATGGAATGTTTCTTAACACGTTCACATGTTGTCTGCTTTACTTCATGACATAACTAATGAAGTTATGCATGCAACTATGCAGTGTTGTGGCTAATTCCATTCTTCTTTGACCATTTTGAAACAGAGGTATCTCTTTAAAGCATTGGAAATATTTTGAAGTGTTGCATGAATTTGTGTGTTCAAATATTTTACAATAATATCAAATTTGTTTTTAATTACTCCAAATGTTAAAAAGTATATTTTTTTTGTTTCCCTAAATATTTTTACTGTTTTAATTCTTTTAATGTCTTGCATCAGTAATATGTTTATATTATTTTTATTAACAAATGAAGAGGAAAATTAAGGGTTTTTAAAGAATTTATAATGTTCTACATACAAAGAAGCAATTCTGAAAATTTAAGTTAATTTATTTTATTTTCTTTTTCTTAAGTTAAAAAATAAATATATTTTACATAAAGTACGATAAATGTTTAGATTCTTATTAAAGCAATCAACGAATCCTCTTATTTTGTTGTAGTAAAATAATCAGAGCTAGTAAAAATTTTCTCAAGTGTATTATATGTTTCTTTTCTATATTATTATATGTTTTTTATAAATAGACTGAAACCATTTTTTGTCTTTTTATTTAAAAATTAAAATGTCATTTAGAATGTATTATTATTTTTTGTTCCTATCATATTTTATGCTATACATTGTTTAGTCGAGATATAATTCAGAAACATTTATACTATGTAAGATTTTTAAACGTGGTAGGACACCTTTTCTATTTATTTTTCAAAGCATGTTATCTTGATTAATCCATTCTAAAAGAATTTCAAAGAAAATGTAATTTGTTTACATGTAATTGATTTATGAGAATGCACATGTTTTAAATTATTGTTTATGAAGTAGATAAATAAATACAAACTAGAACTTCAATTATATATAATCTACCGTTAACAAAGATTTCTAGCACCTTTTTTAAACAAGTCGTGTTTCACATACCTTCTATGTCACAAACTAGCCATATTAAATTGTCATTTGTTCATATTCATTAACATCAATGATATTCTGAATTGTCTATCAGTTTTAATATAAAATTAATCTCATTCTAATTTAAATTTTTATTATAATTTCGTATATTAGAATAGCCCAAATTCTAAAATACTAATTATAAATAATCATGTGTAGTATGGGTAAATATGAAACAATGATATTTCATACAGCAACAATATAAGAGTAAGTTAAATAAAACATGTAACAAGTTTTTAAGATTTTCAAAAATTGCATTAACTAAGCTATCTCTAATACAAAAGTTTAACATTTCTTAATTTTTTTTATTTCCATTATAATTTATCACTTTGGATATTTTCTTACCACTTTTGCTTTAGTGCAAGAACATTATAAGATTCATTTCAATATTCTTAGAAAAAAATACTTTGGAATTATACAATTAAAAAAACCAACAATGAAAAGTGTTTTTAAATGAGTGCAGAAAGAAACTTACGGAGGCGCAAGTGCCTTCCACCAGTTCTAAGGTTATGCAGGCCAATATCAATAAGCTTGCTAGAACATGGCTCATCAATCGACAGATATATATATCCAATAGAACTTTTTGAGTTTCCACTGACAAATCAACACATATATTTATCATCATTATTGAAATAAAATTGTTGAAAGTGAGTTTTGAAAACTCAGGTGCAGTGAGGAGAGAGAAGAACCAGGTGTTCCAATGTAAGATATAGTCGGTGGTATGGTTTGTCTTCTCAGAAAATAATGTAGATTAATTTATTTATATTTAAAATAACGGCAACAAAAACTTCAAGGGAGCACTTTAAGTAATGTTTTCTGATAAAATAAAAATATTTCAAGATTTGTCTGTTGATAGGCGTTTCCAAAATCAATATTTTTCCCTTCAATCGTATTGGAACACCTATCAATTCAAAGTCAATCAAGGGGGCTTGCAAGAATACTGTAATTTGGTGTATTGTTTTCTTGGACCCCACTCCAAGCATAGCACGAACTATATCATATATAAATATTGCCAAACCTTGGATCCATTCTTGCCCAGATGATGGAGGGAGATACTATATTTGCAGCAACAACAAATATCAGAGATGAGGGGATCGATCTAACCCAAATCTCTCTTCGACTCATTAGTCTTGATGATCTTGATTATGTAATGGCGTGGACCACAGATGAAAAAGTAGCCAGATATTGCACTTGGGAACCTTACACTATCAAAGAGGAAGGCATCAACTTTAAATTAAAATAAAGTAAATATCTATGGTTCAGAGCAATTTGCCTCAACGATCGTGTAATTGGGTGTATTGATTTGTTCCTATGTGAGGGGCAGGGTAGGAACAGGCACAAATCTGCCGAACTTGGCTACGCTTTAGGCTCCAGATACTGGGGTAAAGGGATTGCAACACATGTTGTGAAACAAGTTGTTAAAGCTGCATTTACAGAGTTTCCACACTTGGAAAGGCTTCAAGCTCTGATTTTTGTGGAAAATGTGGGTTCTCAAAGGGTGCTGGACAAGGCTGATTTTCAAAGGAAGGGCGTTCTCAGGATGTATGCCATCATTAAAGGAAAACGTAGAGATCTGGCTAGTTACAGTGTTCTCAACAATGATTGTCGTAGTTGATTTGTTTCAAGCATGTCTCAACTCCAGTTTTGAGCCACCTTGAATACGTAAGTGTGTATCAAATATTAGAATAGATGCTACAAACATCCCTGGCATCCATAACATTTATACGATCTTTATGCGTTGTAGCACATTTCACCTAAAGTTTGTAGCTTTTTTATGACGATGTTACGCCTAGGTTACGCGAAATTATACAATCAAGCGCTAAATAACAACTAATTCAGACATCACTTAAATAAGAATACAATAAACAAGCAATAAATCATATCACCAACTTTCAACAGGAGTTTAAGTTTACTTTCCGATAAAACGAGAAATGTTAATAGCCTCATCTGTTGCCTCCGTTGACTGAAATGAATCGGTATTCCAAAAAACACTCATGTTTCACTTCCTACTTGTTAAAATTAATCTTCTACAATTACTGACAATCTAGACATTGATACAATGATAATTACTAGAAAATAAATTAACAAGACAATATACAATATTAAAAAGAACAATATAATCTGCCAATAACTCAATATCGGTAAAGCAACCAAATCTGATTTTGGGTGCTCAACAAACCCAGATGTATTACGAGCAAAAAATATCCGATTGTCAAAACAAAACTGGTTTACTCGGCTTACACAAACACTAAACTGAAGTTTTAAACTTAATTTTCAGGAAACAGAAAACTACAACAAGCTGAATGCAGTATCACTGAATTAAGCTCCAACAATTTCGGTGGGTTCCTCTGCAATTGTTTCATCAGCAGGTCTGTCTACCTTTGTGCCAACATCTTCTGAGTAATCACCATGAACCTACAAGGGCCAAACCGAAAATAAATCCGCTTATAAGGTGTCATCAACATGTACCAGTAAAAACTTTATTTCTTGGCAAGACATGATAATTGCCGTGATCAACAAATCATAAGGTTTAATCAAGGGAATAATAGAAATAACATTTAAGTACGACAAAATTTCTATTTTGGTGGCTATAAGAAAGTGAACTAGTTTAAAGATAAGAAAGATAACATGCTCAATTTGTTCAGCTGATCCATCTATTCACAGTAAAAGAATTCAAAAACCCTGGACATTGGTATGATCAACTAGGACTGCCAGATTTATTAACAATACAAATCGTCTATCAACTATTACTTCAGACACACACATTAAGTTATCTCCTAATGGTAAACCAAGCACACACAGTAGACATCAAAGTTTGTTCAGGTAAATGAATTTTTGAAATATTTTTCATGACCTATGGTATAGAAGAGTAAAAAAAAAATATTTTAAAAATTACCTCCATCAGTTTCCCAAGATCAAACTTAGGAGCTTTAAGAATCTTGACTTTTCGGACAAACACGTTCTGCAGAGGATAAATGCTAGACGTTGCCTTCTCAATTTCTTTTCCAATAATCTCAGGAATAAACTTTCGGACCAACTCCTTCAAATCACAGGATGTTGCCTGGTTGGTCATGATCTCTCTCATCTTCCTACGTATCTGAAAAGTTAAAAGTACGATACCAATTATTAAACTGCAATAGCGTAGCAAAAACCACAAAGTCTACAGTTAAAAACCACTATGCACTGTAAACCAGACCATGTCCTGTAAACCATATTGAATGCGGAGTACATACTTTGTATTGACAAACAAAACCAAAATATTGCTCAACAGTAGAATCTTATTACAATATTGGTGCGTATACCTGTCTAATCTGGCTTGATTGGGCATAACAGGTTCTCTTCACCTGGTTAGCTCTTCTCTTGGTGAATCCAATACAAAACATCCTCAATGTGTAACTATCAGTTGTCTTCACATCCACATGGGCTTCAATAAGTGTTTGCCATTTTCGAACCAAAGACCTCAGTTTGTCTGTGGTGAAATCCATTCCCTATAAAATGAAAGATTAAAAGATTCATATTTGATAAAAAAAACAACGCAGGATGGTATGATGAACAAAAATGGTACAGTCATCAATCATACCCAGAAATTCGTCAGGACATTCTTCCCTTGAATATCTTCAGCTCTCAGCCTTATCTTCCTGAATGCATGATCCTCATCTCCTTGAAGATCAGCCAATGAGACCTCAAAGACTCTATGTTTGAGTCCTTCAGAGGCAATCTGTAATTTAAAACAACCACGGTAAACATAATCAAATTACTGTCCATAATACGCGTGTAGACAAGCAACTGACGATTCATAGACAGCAGACCCTTAGAAGTTTCATAGGCCCTTGTTTTCCCAATAGAACCAAAAATGCAGTAAACACACACCTCAAAGTTTAAACCTATATTTATTTTTCCCATATATTATAAAGATCTAAGAAAGAAAAAAAGGAAGCTGACATTCTGTTTAAGTTCTCCCGGTTTACACGGTAAATATAGGAACTAGTCATTCGACGAAATGCACCAGAATTACAAAGAAAGAAAATCCCCAGTCAAAAGCAACACATGTGTATCAGCCATCTTATCAATATGACAATTCATGTCCGAGCTATATCATAAGAAAAGTTCAAAAATGAAAGACCTATTACAAGTGATCCACAACACAAAGCCAACAAATTTTCACTAAAATGGTAAAAATGCCAATTCTTTGTACATATTCCGAAAGCAATACCTTGGTACCCTGAGTACGGCTGACGAGGGTTTTGCCAACATTTTTTACTTGGAAAACAGAGGGAGCCTTAATGTCATACCAATCCTTCTTGGAAAAGGGATCAGCTCTGCAAATTCATATACAAACGAAACCCATATTTCAATTGAAAAACTGATACAACTAAAAAGAGATGAAACATGCCACAAAGGATAGAAATGGAAGATACTAACGCCTTCTTCTTGCCACCCTTCTTCCCTTTGGAGATGCGCTTGTTCTTTCCAACGGCCATGGCTCACTGTGTGCGGTGTGAGTGACAGCAGCTGCGAATGGCAAGAGCAACAATGGCACCCAAATAAACCTCAAACCCTAACCTTTTATATACCTCTCTCCTTTTATCTTCATTATGAATAATTTAGGGTTTTTCTGATGCCAACATTGCATGGGCTTGGGCTCTTTAAGATCAATGTCACCTGGGCTTTTAAATCGTGGACCTGGTCTCAAGATAATAAGGCCCATCTTAGGAAGCCGAACACTTTCTTTCTAACCCAAAGCATAAAAAAAGACATCAAGCCATCGATTCTGCTATTTCTTTCCTAAATTAAAATTTTGGTCTCTTTTAATTGGCTTTCTTTTTTGTCCGTAATTTTAGTTTTTAAACTATAAAAATATTTAATTTTGATTGAATCTTCAATCAGATCTCGCGATATACATTTAATTTATTGTGTTTTAAATATAAGCCTATAAAACAAAAGATTTGGAGTGAAAGACTAAAAACCTAGCTCCTGCCTATTGTGACTACAGTTAAGATCGCATGCTTCCGCATACTTGGATTAGTTTATGTCTCACATCGAAAGATTAAGAAAAATGAACCCAATGTACATAATAAAATCTAGAAATTCATTGTATCAAGAGGTTTTGAATTGATGCAAACGTGGGCAACAACTAACAAAGAAGAAGCATTTATTATGTGAAATTTTGAAATTGACTAAATCAACCACTTTTCTATTCTTCATGGTCAAATAGTTACATCTTCCTTCTCAAAGTGAACCATAACAATGGTGAAAGTGTGCTTCTAATGGATCTCCATAACATGCATGACTCTCTTCAAATCACTACTTTTTTATGGAGAATACACAAAATAACAAAGGAAAATATAAAAGAAAGGATCCAAAGGGTAAAAGGTGAGAGAAAGGGAACAACAGAATCATGTCACTAGTCTGCTTATATATCATCTTTACATCATTTTTTTCTGTTAAACTCTCTCTCTTGCTTCTTCTGATTTCCTGAATTCTAGGATCTGCGACCACATCTCCATTTTACTCAAACTCTCGAATCAATTTTTCTGTCTAACATCTACTTACTTATTTTAGCTTCAAAACTAACTATGGTGTAATGAATTAAAATTTTATTTTAAAAAATACTCATTTAAACCTCGAACAATGATATTTTAAACAACACTAATACACTTATTTTCAACTAAAACTGTGAACTTTTTCTATCCTAAAAACGGAAAGCATGTTCAAAATGAAGTTGCGACCAAAAACATTACTTCATTTTTTAACAGGTCCCAATTAGAAAAAAGGATCAAATCAAAATGTACAAATATATCCCGTTATATACCAATGAAAAGAAGAAGAAAAAATAGGGCATTACTTTTATAACACGTGTGCTTTATATATATATATATATGGGTTACGTTTGTTTTTCAGTTGGTACATTTTAGGCATGTGTATCGGATTTTAGTAGACAAAAATATCAAAAGAAACCCCCAAACCCTTACTCACCACTCTCATTCCGCTCAACCATCTCTCTTTTATCTCTCTCACTCAAACATTTTTATGTGTCATCCCTACCGTTACTTAATTTAAAAATGAAATTTAATAATAATAAAGGAAAATGTATAACACAGTCCTCCAATCAAAAATCAACATCAACATCATCAGTTATTTCGTTATTAAAGTGGAAAACAAATGAACGAGCAAAAGCAATAAATTGCGGTGTCGCAGGTTGTTCTATGTGGGTGAGGGAGAGTATGGAGATGAAAGAGAAACAAATTGGATAAATAAGGAAGGTGGATTAGGATTAGACAAGTGATTCTGATTTTTTTCAATTGGGACTACACTAGGGATAACACAGAAAATGTTAGAATGAGAGAGATGAAAGAGAAAGGGTTGAGAGGACAAGAGTTTAGGTTTCTTTTTTTTTTTTAGTTTTGATAATGAAAATTATTAAAATATCCTTAACCTTAAATACCCTTATATATCATGGATTCTAAGTTTTAAGGTTAAAGATATTTTAATAATTTTCATTCTCAAAAAAGAAAAAACCCAAAACCCTTTACTCACCTCTCTCATTCCTTTCAACCCTTTCTCTTTCATCTCTCTCACTCTAACATTTTCTCTGTCATCTTATGGTAGCCCCTTAAACAATTTTACAAAAAATGATTTTATAATGAGTTTTCCTTTTATAATTTTTATTTTATCTAATTTTCACAAGCATAAAGGAATTGGTAATTAACCTAGAAAAAATCAGAAATACTCGTTGTTAAACAATTTATTACAAAAAATGATTTTATAATGAGTTTTCATTTTTTATAATTTTTGTTTTATCCAATTTTCACAAGCATAATGACATCAAAGGAATTGGTAATTGGCCTGGAAAAATTAGAAATACTCGTTGTTAAACAATTTTTTACAAAAAATGATTTTATAATGTTCATTTTATAATTTTTGTCGTATATATTTTATCTAATTTTCCTGACATCTGAAGAAATTGGTAATTGGCCTGGAGGGTTTTTTAGAGATGATGATTGCAGATGATGAAATTAGAGAAGTTAGTGAAGATGGTGAAATTGAAGAAATCTTGAATGAATATTTGCTTGAAGGTGAATACGTCGATGACTCAACTCTTTACAAAGACAAATTGTTTAACGGCAAGTGGTTATGATTTTTTGAATTGAGGTTACAGTAGGGATGGAGTAAGAGAGATGACAGAAAAAGTGTTGAGAGAAATGAGAGAGGTGAGTAAGGGTTTGAGGGTTTCTTTTTTTTAGTTTTGAAAAATGAAAATTATTAAAATACCCTTAACCTTAAAACTTAGAATCCATTTATATATATATATATATATATATATAGATATATAGATATATATATATAGATATATAGATATATATATAGATATATAGATATATA